ACTACTAATTACCCAACAATAAGCATGTTCCTGCTTCTATAATAAGAGAATGCTCAACTTTCAAAATAGTTGTCCAGCTAGACTATATTTCTGGCCTCTCTTTCAGCTTGGTGTGGCCATGTGATTAAGTTCTGGATATGAGCAGAAATGAGATATGTCACTCCCCACCTCTAAGAATGAATGTGTGCTCTCCTGGCCCTTTCTCTTCTGGCTGGCTGGCTGGGAGCCGGCAACAACTGGAGCAACTGTCTTATGCAGAGACTGCAGAGACGGAAGCCACATACTGAGGATGCAGAGGTACCCTGACAGCCCTGGGTGTTCTCCTTCTGGTCTGTGTTACATGAAGGAAAAAGAAACTTTTCACCTAACGCCACTATATTTTAGGATCTCTTTGTTATTAGCATCATAGCCTATTCTTTATTATTACATTTTTTGAGATAGGTTTTAAGCTTCAGTTAGTAAAAGAAAATCGATAAACATAAAAAAAATGAATCTACTCAAATCTGCGTATTTATTTGCTATATGTTGTGAGGTATGCAGAATTCTCAACAAAACAATTCTTAAATATAAACAATATATTAGGAAGAGTTATGAGCCACATAGGAACAAGAGGAAAAGAAACAAAAAGAAGTTATGAAAACTCCTGTCTACTTAATTATGTCAAAATTTATAGTATCTTATATGATAATTCATAAAGCCAATATATAACACCCTTGTTCTGTGTTCTTTTATGTGATGGTCAATCAGGTGTAGCCACAAGAGGGGTCATAGAAGAGGCTCAGGAAAACAAAATTTATTATACTCCGAGGCCCTAGAAGAGGGGGGTCACAGAAGACGCATCATGTTTTGGTCAGGTGGTAGAAGACAGGAACATGAGAAGACCTTAGGTCAGGCCTTTATTGGCATTTCTGTAGGAAAGGTAAGGCAGAGCAGGGTAAACTGTTTAGGATTGGCTAGTTTTAATAATTCTATTAGCCTTTGGGCAATATGAGCGAGCAGGCAGGTGGTCTCAAGTTGTCTTCTCCTTGGCCACAGGATGATTTGAAGAAGAGGACTGTCTCCTGGAGTGTACTGGCCAGATGGAGAAGGTATGACTCTGGACTGGTTAGTTTGCAGATCAAAGGCATGCTGCCAGCTGAGTCCTTTGCTATCTCTAAGAACTGTCCAGCCCCTACAGGAGCAGTCTCTCCCCAGCTAGAAAGGTTTTGGGTCTTTTTGAGTTTTTGTTTTTGTTTTTATGATTAAAGCAATATTATATTAGCTGGATTATAAAGCAGAAAGAGATTCCATACATTCTGGAATACATGTGCAGTAAGAGGAATCAACTCAAGTATTAATTCTTTTTTTTAAATTGAAATATGGTTAACCAGAAAGGTTTTTTAAGATATTAAAGCACAATAATATACAGAAAAATAAAAATATATACAATATAACCCCATATTTTATCTAGCTATGTTTGGTCTCACTCAGTGCCTGTTAAAAATGTTTCTATGGGTTTTGACTGATTGTACAAGCTAGAAATACATCTGCTAACATGCAGAATGCAAGCCTTACCACCAATACATATAAAGGTAAAATAAAACCAAAAATATATCAATTCATCATTCTGTAATTAAAAACACAGATAAAAATGATAGTAAATGTATTTACTTAAATCTAATTTTAGATTATTTTAAATGTTTACCTTTTATAAATCTCAAGGCCAATTTTTTATGACCAACTTTAAAAAAAATTATCTATAAGAATAGTTTCAACAGTGGGTAACACAAGACCCTTTGGGGCATTTGGAAATGGCAGTGAGGGCTGAAGGAAGGGCATTTGGGGTTGTGCATGGAGATGCAACTCTTATTTTGTGCCCAAGAGGTCTAAAGTTCTAAACACCATGCAGTGTATGGGATATTCCTCTACAAAAGAGAACTGTCCAGCCCAAGATGCTAATAGCATCTTTGTTGAAAATCACTTACTTATAACATACATTCTTTATATTCTTTCTTACCCAATACTAATCACAAACATTTTCATGCCAGAAACAAATGTTCAAGATTGTGTCTATTAATGGGACTTTAAAGAAAGTACTTTAAGAATCCAAATCAGCTTTTAACATTAGCATGTTTATCCAGGTATAGAAAGAATGATACTTATAACAGCTTTTTATGTACAGAGAAATCACTTGGGACCTTTTTTAAAAAAGGAATAAAACACCCCTGTATTTAGTAGTCTATCAAGGAAGAAAAATATGACTAAATTAGTTCTGCAAGTATATATGACATTTATATATTATAAATAAACATAAAACAGATACATATATAGATAATATATTTAAGTAGATAAATGTATGCAAAATATTCAATAAACACCCATAAACAGGTTAGATACAGATAGATAAATAAATGATAGAGGATGGATGGATGTACTAATCAGTCATCTTATATCTATTGCTGCTTATTCACAGACTGCAAAAGAAAGGGGTATTTGCTGCCTTTTCAGTAATTGCATCTATAGTTTCAGTACATATAGTATCTCACATTGCCCTGGCTAAAAAGCTCCACTAGATTGTTTTGTGCGTATATGCATACACATACACATACATATATACAAACATACATACACAAAGATGTGTATATATGTGGTTATTTTGAAATAAATTATATGAAACCAATTCTGAATTAACAAAGCCAAAGTACTATAGTAGGATAGTCATATAAACAGAGAGAGAGTGATAGAGTACAAATAAATATATGACATAATATGTAGCTGTAAAACTAATATATATAAATAAATTTAAGTAAATATACATATAACACTATAATTTTTAAAAAGAATATCTGGATACTATCTTTTACAGGAGCAAAACAATCACTGTTTCCTTAAAATATGCAGGTACAGTGCAGGTCCTTTTACATTATTATCTAAACTTAATCTTCAAAATAATAACTAAATAATTTTCATTAGAAAGTATCTTTCATTAAAAAAAAATGCCTACAATATAATAGAATAAACAAAATAGTCTTACCTAATCGTAATTCTCCAAAATTCCCACATCCGATTTTTTTTCCAACTCTAAAGTTAGGTCCAACCATTAAAACTCCAGAGGATGAAGAACCAGTTCCTCGAGTGTTGTGTCCTGACCGACCACTAGGTCGTGCCATTCTATCATCTGATTTGTCCTTGTCTTTCTTTTTATTATCCATATCAAGTTTGCGGTACTCCACTTTGAATTCTTTAATCAAGACAAGCACACTGAAATAGGGTATCGTGAAAACAGGTACATCACTAGGTAACTGTACCAGGTGGGTAATCTTAACATTCAAATTGCAGTAGGTAGTCAATTAACTGGAGCGTGTTCATCCCATTCGTAAAATTTTTCTCAGCTGTCTTTTCAGCAAAACATGTCTTCAAAATTATCTTTCCAGTGATGTGAGCTGATATTGATAGAGAGCTAGAATATTAAGAAAAGAAAATTAGTCAACTTAGAGAATTAAAAAATGTATGTTTGGGAAATTAATAACATTACAAAAGTTTAGGCAATAGACTATTACTATTTGTTGATGCTCACTGAAATCAAACTTCAGTAGACTCTTATTCATTACCCTTTAAAGATTCCTATAATTTAATACCAAAGAGATCACAAAAACAGAACAAAACACAGAAATCAAGAGATTTGGTTGTTTCTTAACAATAAATACAAGTAACAAAAATGCACTGAGTGTTCCATAAGCCAATATACATTCACTAACCTAGACCTTCCAACATAAAATCATTTCAATTAAAAAAACATACTCAGAGAATTCCAATAAGTCAATTTAAGATTTTCAATTTAAAAAAACAGAGAATAATTTTGCAAATTAGTAAAAGATCTTAATAAAAATATCTTCTACATGTTCATACAGTTAATAATTTTCAGTTTTTTCAAATATACATTCTCATTTAATCTTCATTTATTCAAATATTTATTATTCATTAACTATATATGGAAATGGAGATCAGGATGATAATAAAAAAAATTCTCGTTACTCATCATGGAAAACATTAATTATTATGTAACACTTGGATTAGGCCTTAAAATATATATATATAATTTCAATTTCATAAGGTCAAGAAATGTTGGTAGGCCAAACTCACAAGGTAGAGAAGGTAAATTTTACATTTTCTAATGTACAGATGAAAACACTAAAACTCAAAAAATTTTTCAAGGCTTTTGGAAGAGTCTGCCCCATTCATCTTCTCTAAGAATTTCACCCATCAGACATACCTCAATTCTGTGGTAAATCTGCAAGCTTAAATAATTCTCCAAATTTTGTTTAAACAATTTGACTGGATTCCTATTCTCTGTAATTAAAGAAACTTTGACTTCAAAAGATAATCAGTAAAAAAGAAACTAGGATTTCAAAATTGTAGAATAGATAAACAAGATTCTACTGTATAGCACAGGGAAATATACACAAGATCTTATGGTAGCTCACAGAGAAAAAAATGTGACAATGAACATATATATGTTCATGTATAACTGAAAAATTGTGCTCTACACTGGAATTTGACACAATATTGTAAAATGATTATAAATCAATAAAAAAGTTAAAAAAAGAGACTAGGATCACTATCAAGGACTGCTTATCCCTACTTTTGAAGTTATTAAAGTATATGATGCAATCATAACAAAGGTGAAAACAAACCGTATTTCCTGATTAATTTTCAGCCACCCACCAAATATGCAGTCATTCCTAACACCCAATCTATTTATAAAGTTTCTTATTATATTTGCCATACTCTTAATTTTGCAGGTAAAACTGTAAGCATCTGTTTGGTATGTGTAAAACTGTAAATTCCGTTTGCAGCCATAATAGACTCACTGATACTGAACTTCCCCTCCGGCTGTAAATAACTATGACACTGGACAAAACATATGAAGCGCTTGTTTTCAGGCATCAGCTAACAGGCAGTGAAGACTGATTTTGAGAAAAAAGAAACACATAAGGCCACCTTCACGCAAGAGCTCCAGCTGGGGACAATTTTCTGACTACAGCAGAGGGAAGTGAGACTCAGTCAGTGTACAGTTATCACAGATCAGAGTTTGGAGCTGCTGAAGTGAGTGAAATTTGCAGAACAGTACTGATGGAGAGGCAGTTGTGTAGTGTTAGGGGTAGGAGATGACAGATTAGTAGTAGATTAGCAGACAAAGACTACTAGGGGTTAAATGAAGAACGGAAATAGTAAAAGCTGTAAAGTGCTAGAAGACCTTAAAGTTCCTATCTGGTCATGGTGGAGGAAATTCATTAGTATCCCAGGAGCTCAGCTGAGATACCAGAAAGACTAAGTCTTAAGATTAAGGACCATACGCTAGAGTCAGAACACTCTAGACTGGCTCACCAAGCCTGGACAGGATTAAGAATATCTCCAATTAAATTAATTGCATTCTAGAACAAAACTCAACATACTTAAAAAGATCAAAACAAAAAAAAAAAAACCCAGACTCTCAACAATGTTAAATTCAGAATGTCCAGCATACACTTAAAAATTACCAGGCATGAAAATAAGCAGTAAATGTGAGCAGCAGCCAGGAAATAAAGCCATCAAAGGAAATAGACCCCAAGATGACACCGATACTGAAATCAGAAAACAGGACTTTAAACTGCTAAACAGCCACTGAAGTTCTATAAAATTGAAGAAAGAGAATGGGGCAGAAAAATCTTTGAAGAAATAACGGTTGAAAATTTCCCAAATTCACTGAACAATGTTAAGCTACAAAATGAGGAAACTCAGCAATACCATAAGGGATAAATACAAAGAAAATTAAACCTAGGTGCATCAGAGTCAAAGTGCTAAAACTGAAAAATAAAGAAAAAGTCTTGGAAGCAGACAAACTACGCAACAGACAGGGGAACTGCTAGCTTTTTATCAGAAACAATGGAGGCCCCCCCAAAATGGGAAAATATATTCAAACAAATGAAAGGAGGAAAAAAATTCTCAGCCCAGAACTTGACATCAGTAAAATTATTCTTTAAAACTGAAAGTGAAAGAAAGCCATTTTCAGAGGAAAGAAAGCTAAGAATTAGTCACCAGCACACTTGTACAAGAAATACTTTTCAAATAGTCCATAAGGCTTAATTAAATCACATGATATCAGAAAGAAATGTGAAACTTCAAGAAGAAATGAAGAATACTGGAAATCAGAAATGCATAGGCACTTATTTCCTTAAAAGATATATTACTGTTTAAAGCACAAATAATTTCTTAGTATCATTTATAACATATGTATAAGTAAAACAAATGACAACACAAATGGCAGGGGCAGGTAGGAAATGGAATTATACTATTTTAAGATTCTTATATTTGTGAGGAATGAGATAGTTCAATATTAATTTTAAGTAGCCAATGCAATTTTAAAGCACATATTGTGATACCTAGACTAAACACTAAAAATTAATTGCAATAGAAACAGCTAAAAAGCTAGTACAAGAAATAAAGTGGAATAATAAACATTTGATTAAAACAAAAGTGAAACAAAAGATATATGAGACCAAAAAAAAAGAGAGAGAAGTCCTAAAACCACATATACAATGAAGATGGACCACATTTTCCCCATAAAAGGGAAAAACTGTCAGATTGTACAAAATATCAAGATCCAACTATATGCTGTCTATAAGAAACAACTTTAAATACAAAAACACAAGTGGACTGAAAGTGAAAGAACAGAAAAAAGGATATACAATGCAAACAGCAAGTATAATAAGCTTGAGAGGCTATATTATCATAAAAAGTAAACATCAAAACAAGGGACTATCTCCAAAGACACAGATCTATTTCATAATGATAAAAAAAATAAATTCAATAGAAACACAAAAATCATTAAAAAAAAGACATAACAATGAACAAAATGAAGCAAAAACTTAAAAAAACTAAAGAGAAAAAGACAATCATAGCTGAAAATTTTAACACTTGTTTTAATAATTGATAAAGTAAAGAATAAAAATACCAGTACGTATACTGATAGAGTAGATGTAAATAATACCATCAATTACCATGATCTAATTGACATGTATAAAACACAACATTCAAAAACTGCAGAATTACCTTTCCTTTCAATGCTCATCAAGAAAGATCACTTTCTGGATCATTATTTAAGTCCCAAATAACTGAAATATTACAGAGTATAATGATCAAACTAGAATTAAATAATGAAACAATAACTATATGATATCTAGAAAATCCCCATATATTTGAAAATTAAACATACTTTTAAACAATTCATGAGTTGAATAATAAATCAGATGGGAAACAAAAAAATTTTCCCAGAATAATAAGAAAATATACCAAATTTTGTGGGTTGCAACTAAAGCAATGCTTATAAGAAAACTGAAAGCTTTAAATGCCTAAGTTAGAAAAGAAGTTTTTAACCAATGATCCAGTTTTTCTCCTTAAAAAGTTAAAAAAGAGCAAATTAGACATAACTTGAGGAAATAGTTTAATAGAGTTATTGTTAATATTCCACAGACTTTTACAAAAATACAGTCTTACTGAGTGAAAATACAGGAATTCTTGGCAGATAAATATCAAAGAAACAAACAAAAAAGAACCCCAGAGACCCTAGGATAAAAAGAATCATATCTAAAATGAAAAACTTCATTGGATCCATTTAAAAATGGATTGAATAGAGCAAAAGGTGTCAATGAACCTGAAAGAAGATCCAAATAAATTATTCAGGGAGCAAAGTCAATAAAATAGAAAATAAACAACACAGAAAATAAAACCAAAAATTGATTTTTTTTGAAAACTATACTATTCTTACAAAAACTCTTTCAGAAACACAAGAATAAGGAATACTTGTCAATTTACTTTGTAAGATCAACAGAACCCTGATACAAAAGCCTGAGTAAAACAGTTGAAGCAAAGAAAATTAGACCAGTATTTCTCATAGCCATAGATATAAAGATTATTCACAAAATATAAGCAAATATATTAAAAAGTTTAATAAATAATAATCGAACAGGGTTTAATACTAGAAAGTAAGATTTAATATTTAAATAAATTCAGCAAATTAACAGCAAAAAAAATCTCAACAGACAAGAAAATGCATTTGACAAAATTCAACCCATTAATAACTAAAACCTTTCGGTAATCCAGAAAGAGAATCGAACTTTTCCAACCTAATAAAAGGAATCTACAAAAAAAAAAAAAAGAAACTACAGCTAATATCATACTTAATAGTAAAACAATGAACTCTTCTCCACCAAGACTAGGAAAAAAACAGAAGAATGTTTGCTCTTAGATCTTCTATTAGACACTGTATGGAAGAACTAGTCTGTACAATAAGGAAAGAAAAGATGCAAAAAAACATAAAAATTGAAGAGGAAAGGGCAAAACTGTTGTTATTCAGAGACATCTTGATTGTGTTGTGCAGAAAACTTTATAGGGTGATGTTATCAAGATGGCAGTGTAGATCATTCCCAACTTCAGTCCCCCTCACAAGAAGAACAACTAGCAACTATCTACAGACTGAAATCACTAGAAAAAAATCCCAGAACCCAAGGGTGAGGCTAAAGCACTCCCTTGGACAATAGAGATAGAGAAGGACCACATTAGAAAGATAAGAGGAGCAGCTACACTCTAACCACAGTGTCCCTCCCCAAGGCTGGCACAGCACTACACCTACAGGGCCCCCAAGGCTGTGGTTTCTTGGTGGGAAAACAAGAGTCTAAGGTGGACATCCAGCTCCCCTAGCATAGCAGGATGGTTCCTGGGAGGCCTATCCAGGTCTCACCTCATTGGGATCATTGAGGGAATCTGTGAGGTTCATTAAAAAAAAAATAAAAATCTCAACAGAACAATAACAAGTGAAGATATTGAATCAGTTATCAAAAACCTTCTAATAAACAAAGCCCAGGCAAGAATGAGGAACATTTAGAACTCTCAATTGCTGGTGGGAGTATAAAAAAGTACAACTTAGGGGAAAAGTTCTATAGTTTATTTTAAATAAAATATACACCTATCCTATGACCTAACAATACCACTCTTAGGTATTTACTCAAGAGGAATCAAAACATATGTTTAGAGAAAGGCTTGTACACTAGTATTTACAGCAGCCTTATTTGTAATAGCAAAAAAGATGGAAACAATCCTAATGTCTAGGAAGGAACAGAGGAACAGATATACAAATTGGTATGTCCATTCAATGGAACACTATGCAGCAAATAAAAAGAAAAGAACTGCTGATACATGTAACAATATGGATGAATCTCTCATATATTAGACTGAGATAAGTAAGGCACAAAAGAGTTCATACTGTATCATTCTTGTTATATGAAGTTCTAGAATCAGCAAAAATTAGCTATGGTGACAGAGATCAGATCAGTTGTTACCTAGGGTGATGGGAAGTTTGAAAAGTGGCATGACAGAACTTTCTAAGGGAAGGAAATATTCTACATTTTGATTGGAAGGGGATTACACTGGTGTGTACTTCTGTCTAAGTTCATCAAACTACACTTAAAATCTATCTTATATGTAAATGATACTTCAAAACATGATTTTCAGAAATAACACACATCAAAAAATTAATGCTATATCTCAAAGTGCATATTTTTTCCTACTATATCACAAAATTTATCTGAAAACACTACTTATTTTAAAGTTAATGAACACAGTATTTTAGAAGGCTTTTTTTTTAAGGCCCTTCTATACTTTTTCTATTGGGAAGGAAGTAATTTCCCTTTTGCAATTTTTCCTGTTATTTATATAGCTTTTTGTTTACTAACTATCCAAAACACATTCTATTAACTATATGTTACAAGAATTCAAATAACACAGATAAAGTAAAAATACTCTGGGGATGCCCATACCCCTTATCCATCATCCCACTTGCTCTGCTCACAGGTAAACATTACTTCCAGTTTGGTGTATATGCTCTGGACCTTTTTTTAATTCCTGTGCATGCATATATTTAAGTATAGCAATATTTGTAGGTCTGCTTACTTTACAGAAAAGGTCAATGTAAAACCTCTGAAGAATTCAAATTTTACAAAAGTAACAGCATTTGAAAGCATATCATACACTGGAAAACTTCTGCCCTTTTTCTTTCATATCCATGCACCCAACATGAACCCTAGAGCATCTAGGGCCAGCAAAACAAATGGTTGGGGAGGCAAGAAGAGTTAAGACACAACCCCAAATTCCTTCCTCAAGTTCCAGAGCCAAGGGCCACGCCTGAAGCTGGGAGGTGGGAAGGCACAGGCAGGAAAAAGTAATGAATTAGCTAAAAACTGAACCTTGAAAATGAAACAGGTATTTTTAATATCTGAAAATAAGTCTTGCTAAAACTGAATTTATTCCTATAAATATGTGGCAAGAATCAATGGAAACTGACCAGAGCACCACCTATGAGTGGGGGAAAAAGAATAATCAAAGTATAGAAAGTAGTAGTGAGAAATGAAGCTGTTTCTTATTTTACTCCATCCTGTTCAATACATTCAGGAAACTGTTCATAAATTTGTCATACTAGGTTCTTTAAGGTTTTTTTAAAAATATTTTAACATATTAGTTCTGTGATTAAAATATTAAGGATCTCAACAGTCTAAGTACTTCCCTATTGTAGCACGTATCAAACAGTATTAGAATGGACAAGTTTGCCTACAGCCATGGTCAGCAAACTCCAGTCTGTAAGCTAAATCCAGTCTGCTGCCTATTATGTACGGTCTGCAAACTAAGAATGGTCTCTACATTTCCACATAGCTGGGGAAAAAAATAAAATAATATTTTGCGGCCCATAAAAATCATATGAAATTCCAATTTCAGTGTTCATAAATAAATTTCTGTAAGAATGAATCCGTGCTAACTCGTTCATACGCTGTTATGGCTGCTTCATGCTACAAGAGAAGAGAGACCATATATGGCACTCTTATCATTTCACACTGCTTTCCAGAGCATCACAAACTGTCATGCTTTTAAGGCACAGCGGAGTGTGCATTATGTACTTCAAATTAGATGGCAAAGTATTGTATTTATTAAATAATGACACCATACTAAAGAATATAATGGACATGACCAAAAGTATTAGTTTTCCACTGCTGTGTAACAAATTAGCAAAAACTTAACAGCTTATAGCAACACACATTCCATAGATCAGCTGACTCATTTGCTCAGTGTTTCACATACTTCATCTGGAGGCTAAAGTGGGAAAGAATCTTCTTCTAAGCTCCCTTAAATTGTGGGCAGAATTCATATCCTTGTAGTGTATAACTAAGGGCCTCAGCTTTTTGCTGGCTCTCAGACAGAGGCCACCCTCAGGTCCTATAGGGTGCCTACAGTTTCTACAAGCTGCTTACCATTCCTACATGGAATTCTCAGACATGGCCACTTAATTCTCAATGTCCCTAAGAAAAGTTTCTAGCTCCAAACTTTTAAGAATAAGTCTTATATGAGGCAACATAACATATTCATACCTATGTCCCAATCTTTGTACCCTGCTCAAATCCACCAGTTCCCCCAGGCCATGGGTCCAGGTCTTGCTATCTGCTTCCAGATCTCCTCGATGCTGCCTGTCTATCTATGTACTAGAAAGAGCACAGGATTAGAAAAAAGTAATCTTAGGAGTCTCAACTAGTTGTGAAGCCTTAGGCAAGGCTTAATCTGTCTAAGCTTGTTTTAGTAATTATCAAATAGGAGTATTAGACTAGGAGATTTCTAAGGATATGCCTGTATTACATACAGTATTACAACTGACTGCTACATTTAATGACAAGGACTCATTATATGTAACTTTGTGATCTCTCAGCCTAACACACTACCAGGCATCTAAGACAGTCAATAGATATTACAGATTAACAAATGACTTCTTTCTGCCTTACCTAAACATTTCTAGGTTTCGGTTGTATAATTCCTATTTAAAGGTGCCCCAGTCACATATCACCAGAACCCTTAACATCAGTCTTTTCATTTAACTGAGACACATCACTGACCCTCTCCAGTGTGCTACAAGTGTTCCCAAGAATTTCCTGTGTGAGATCGCATTTTGTTGCCTGAATTACTCCTCTAATACTATGTGTTTGTGCCTTCGGTACTGATTCATCCCAACACCAAACCAAAATCATTTCTGAAAACTGCAGATATTATTTTAGCTACAGCTAATACCAGCAGACAAGGAATCACAAATCCAAATGCCCAAAGAGGAGAGGCAGGTAACAGAATGACTCAAACAGAGAATAAGACAAT